TATTAAATAACATTGAGTGCCTCCCTATCCTGGAAGAGTTGGATAGCGAACCAACCTTAGCAGAAATAAAAGCGGCCTTGGATTTCCTTGCCTCCAGCAAGGCACCTGGAAAGGATAACATCCCTTTTGAAGTGCTGAAGTGCTGTAAAGAGATAATCACCACCGAACTGTATGAAATCTTTCATCTTTGCTGGAACCAAGGTGGAGTACCACAGGACATGAAGGATGCAAACATCATTACATTGTATAAGAACAAAGGAGACAGGGGCTACTGCAATAACTACCATGGCATCTCTCTTCTCAGCATTGTAGGGAAGCTGCTTGCCCGTGTTGTGCTCAAGAGGCTCCAGGTGCTTGCAGACAGAGTCGATCAAGAATCACAGTGCGGATTTCGAGCTAATACTGTAGATCCGCCACTGATACGGTATTCTCCCTCAGACAGTTGCAGGAGAAATGCAGGGAACAACAACAGCCACTCTTAGTGGCCTTCATAGACCTTACAAAAGCATTTAACTTGGTTAGTAGGGATGGCCTTTTTAAAATACTTCCTAAGATTGGATGTCCTCCTCGACTCCTTAGCATCATCAGGTCCTTTCATGAGGGCATGACGGGCACTGTAGTTTTTGATGGCTCAACATCAGATCCCTTTGACATCCAAAGCGGAGTGAAACAAGGCTGTGTCCTCACGCCTGTTTGGGATCTTTTTTCCTGTCATGCTGAAGCACGCCTTTGAAACTACAACCGAAGGTGTCTATCTCTGGACTAAATCAGATGGAAAGCTCTTTAATCTCTCTAGATTGACCAAAGTCCAGCTGAAATGCATGTGGGATTTCCTCTTCGCTTATGATGCAGCCATTGTTGCCCACTCTGCTGAAGACCTCCAACAACTCATGAATCGTTTTAGCAAGGCCTGCCAAGACTTTGGACTAACTATCAGCCTGAAGAAAACACAAGTCATGGGCCAGGGCATGGACTCACCTCCCTCTATTACCATCTCCACACAAAAATTGGAGGTTGTCCATGAATTTGTGTACCTTGGCTCAACGATCTCTGACACTCTCTCCCTAGATGTTGAGCTGGATAAACGCATTGGCAAAGCAGCTACCATGTTCTCAAGACTCACAAAGAGAGTATGGCTCAATAAGAAGCTGATGGCATACACCAAGATCCAGGTCTATAGAGCCTGTGTCCTGAGCACACTCCTGTACTGCAGTGAGTCCTGCACCCTTCATGCACGGCAGGAGAAAGATGAACACGTTCCATATGCGTTGCCTCCGATGGATTTTTGGTATCACTTGGCAGGACAAAGTTCCAAATAGAGTAGTCCTAGATCGAGCTGGAATTTTTAGCATGTATACATTACTGAAACAGCGACATCTACCTTGGCTTGGGCATGTTGTAAGAATGGCTGATGGTCAGATTCCAAATGATCTCCTGTATGAAGAATTAGTGCAGGGAAATCGCTCCAGAGGGAGACCACAGCTGTGATACAAGGATATCTGCAAGCGGGATCTGAAAGCCTTGGAAATGGATCTCAACAGATGGGAAACCCTGACATCTGAGCGCTCAGCCTGGAGGCAGGCGTTGCATCACGGCCTCTCCCAATTTGAAGAGACCCTTGCCCAGCAGGCCAAGGCAAAGAGGCAGTCACGAAAGTAGCAAAATCAGGGGGCTAGACAGGGTACAGATTGTATTTGTCCTCAGTGTGGAAGGGATTGTCACTCTCGAATTGGCCTTCTCAGCCACACTAGATGCTGTTCCAAAGCCTCCATGCAGAGCACGATACCATAGTCTCTTGAGACTGAAGGATGCCTATGTATGTACCCATGAGGTTGATTTTTTTGATTTGATATTTTTGGCTACCTTTCAAGACTGAGTCCTATTTAAAAAAGATGAAAAGCCATAAATTCTCAATTTCAACAATGAAAAATTCAGCATATTAAGAACAAATTCTAATGCTAAGAAAATTCATAATAAGCTTGAATGATCTTGGAGCACACCACAATAAATAGATTAGTTCTAGTGATAGTTCTGTGAAGCAGTCTTAAAACTAAACTCATTCCTATAGGCAGAACTTTTGAGTGTAAACTTGTTTTTAAAAGTTATTAGTTACGTTTACAGTTCAGAGGTGCTAAAGGAGTCAGTTACTATTATGTCTGCAATTTTTTAAAACAGCAAATATTACTCTTATTTCTCAGAAGCAACTAAATTGTTGCTTCCTAGTTACCTAAGAATCTCATTTGAATGTTTCTAATCATCTGTACAAGTGCAGCACGAGACACTTGATTCATGTAATCCTCCTTTTCCATTATTTATTGAAATCATACACCGCAGAAACTATAAACATAACTATGAAAATCACAGGTATGCCACAAAACAAAGACAGTTTACCCATGTTAAGTGGCAGTCATAATGGTAAGTTAAATTATAGTTATGGAAATTAGTTACAAGCTCTGATTATTAGGAGAGGTCCTCCTCAATTGCTAGCTATTATATGTAATGAAAGTTATATTTAGCAATTTACTAATTTAAAAATGTGGTTATTTGGGGTTTTTCTTTCGCAATAACTAGAAATAACATATCTGAAAATATCAAATATATTGAGAAGGTGCCACCTGTGTTTATTCACATAGATCACTCTTTAAAATACGTCACATCTTCTCTCTCTTTTTTTTCCCTGGGGTTGATTTTAAAAAAGTTCAATTCTGATTTGCTCTTCATCTGATACAATTTACCAGATTAAATCTGATTTTTCTGTACAATTTTATGATGGAAACTATATGTACAAAATATGGATGGCAATATGAATTTTGAAGCCATAGATGAGTATGGGTTCAAGCACTCTGTGAACTGTCACTGAGCGAGAGTCTCCCAGTTTGTGTGATGTGAGGAGTAAGAAGAGATAAGGTGGGGATAGTATCTGGAGAACACACAACCCATCTACTTGACCATGGTGATGTCATAATGTACTTCAGTGGAATTTCTGGTTCTCCCAACAGTTTGGAGCTCAGAATAAGACTGCAGAAAGCAAAACAGCCATAGAATCAACACAGAAGAAATAGATTTTCTTTCTTGAAATCTTTCTCAGCAATGCTATTCTTTCTGGCCTGTGGCATCATATTATTTTTGCTAATTTCTGTATGTTCAGTCTTCCTGATACTCATATATTTTAACTACAGAATTAAACTTATTTTGGCACAAGAAAAGCATTATATGCACCTTCTTAGCAATTAAGATCAGCAGAGGAGGCTCTTCTCTCAGTCCCTTTGCCAGCACAAGCACAGCTGATGGGGGACACAGGAGAGGGCCTTCTCTGAGGCAGCTCCCAGGCTATGGAACGCTCTCCCTCGAGAGATCAGGATGGCCCCTTCCCTCTTATCCTTCCGGAAAAAAAAAGCTGAAGACCCATCTCTTCAGGCAGGCTTTTAACAGTTATAACTGAAACCCTGAACCCCATTTTAGCAGATAATTTTAATTTTTTTTATGTTTTCATCTTTTAAACTTTTTAATTTTATTTTAATCCATATATTGTTGAATTTGCCTTTTAATATTTAACTTATTGTGTTTTTAATTGTGTGAATTTTAATGTTGTGAGCCATTTTGCGTCCCTTGTTGTGAGAAATGTGGCATATAAATAAAACTAATAATAATTAATGATAACTGATGCGTAATGAGGAAATCGTTTCCAGTTTTGAGCCAATTTATTTAAGTCTACAAAATAAAATAATGGCTCATGTTACTATGGATGCCAAATAAGACTCTCAGTGTTTACTTAATCTAGAATATAACTTATCTTTCCAGCCGTTAAGATTGATGTGGTCATAGAAATTAAGAATCAGTTCATACATATACAGAAACAAAAATCTGATCGATGTCTACTTTTCCTATTATTAGGGGGAGGTCTTCCTCAGTAAAATGTGCTAAAATGTTATGTCTAGCTATTGCTGATGTTTTTCCTCTTTTAAATTGGGAATTCAGGTATAGCTCACAGTGAGATATGTGACCTCCAGAGGTTTTCTGAGACTTAACAGATCTCACTACCGTGAAGATATGTGAGTTTCCTCTTTTTCAAATTAAGGAAAACAGATGAACAATCTGGCTACGTTTTTGTTTTCCCCTTTTTTGTGCAATTTGTGAACACGATCTAAATTCTCCTTATTTTGGACTATATTGATCAGTTAGCCTCCAGTATGTCATGCTTGGGCAAACTGCTTGAGTGTGGTGGTTGCCGTCCCAAATCCAGACATTCCTGAATGAAACAGATTATCTAAATCCATTTCTATCTGGCTTCAGGCTTGGGGTACAGGATGAAAACAGCTTTGGTAGCCTTTGTGGATGACTTACAGGGAGAACTGGACAGGGAGAGTGTGCTGATCTTTTCAGTGCCTTTCAGCACCATCAGCCATGACAGCCTTCTGGGTTGTCTTCCTGGGATTACACTTGTGGCACTGTTGTACAGTTGTTCCTGATTTCAGCGGGTGATGTTGAGGGAGTCCTATCGAACATCATGGGTATTTCTTGCTTGTGTCCCTCGTGGCTCAGTTATGTCCCCTGTGCTGTTTAAATATATGTGAACTTGCTGGAAAGTTTGTCCATAGTTTTGGAGTTCAGTACTACCATTATGCTGATACCACCTCTCTCCTTTCCACCAAAATCTTAGATAGCTATTTCAGTTCTAGACCAGTGCCTGGAGCCAGTAATGGACTGAACAGCTTGAAAATCCAGACAAGACAGAGGTGCTCATTGTCAATTAGAAGGCACATCAGACAATAGAGATGCACTTTTTGCTGGATGGGGTTGCACTCCTCCTGAAATCTCAGGGTCTTAACTAGAATGTACTCCTGGATTCATGCCTGAGTCTGATGCTCATGTTGCAGCAGTGGCCAGGACTGCATTAGTGCTGTTAAAGCTGGTACATCTGTTCCCATCCTTGAAATGTCTGACTTTCTAGCCAGAGCCACTAACATTTGAGTTTTTCCTCTCTTTTCCTGTTTCCACAGGAATCATCCGACAGCACAAACACCACCATAGAGGATGAAGACACGAAAGGTAATGGATTTAAGGAGCCAGACAGAATGCCAGACTTTCTAAGACATAAAGTTGAACCCTAATTGGATCCTTGCAAGTCATGCATGGGAGAAATGGGTGGATAAAAGGTTGGCTGGGTGAATGAGGGCCAGCTAGGCAGAATGGTAAGAAAAACAATAGCCAAAAATAAAGATATTTTAATGCTTTGTAAGCTGCCTTGGGTCTCTTTTTTGGGAAAAGGGTGAGGGATTTATTAATTAATTAAGTAGAGAAATTATTTTGTGGGTTTTAACACCCCATGTAGTCACATAAAATGTCCCATATTTGCCATTTTTATCATCCCTATTCTTGGCTGATCCTGGTGAATACTCATTTAAATTGAACAAGCATGTACTTAAAGTTGATCTGTGAGGAGCTACAATTTGGTGTTAAGTTTTGTGTTCAGTGTCTGAATTGGCTGACCAATTTAACAGAGAACTTGAGCAAGAATGGGACGAGATGAATATTATACCATAGTGCGGCTAGGGCCTACCTTCCTCTTGCATTAGAATTCTACCATTGGACCTCAAGGTTACCTCACTGGCAGAATAGATGCTTTGCATACTAGTGGTTCCAGGACTAATACCTAATTGAACAATCTCAAATACCAGGTTTAATAAGGCTGAGACCATGTTAGACATGCTTTCTGTCAGATAGCTCATTTTTTTAATTAAAGTTTTTGGAAGTATTACTTTCTGTCAACGAGTAGTAAGCACTTTGATGTCTCGTAGCAGTCATCCTTGGTTTAAAAAAAAGTGAAGCCTAAAAGGAAATGGAGGGAAAAATGAAACTGCAATGAAGAAATCACTTCCTCACCATCATTTTGTGGCCCAGCATATAACAATAGAAAGCTGAGGGGGAGTGCAAACTCTTGTTATTAGAATTATGAGTGAAATTTAGCCATGCATGAGGAATTCCATCTTTGCAAATGCAAAACAAACTGTTCTGTGCTTTCCAGAACTATGTTTAATGTCAACCATATCATAGGCTGTTGTCTATAATTCAGCTTTCAGTGTTCATTGCAGCTTCTAAGGTTTTATTTGTTTTGTTATCAGCTCTGTAAGAGAACCTCAAGGTGTGCCATTCAGTGTTGTTCCACTGCAATTAACAGCAAGTCTGAGAGAGAAAGAGAGCGAGCGAGAATAAAAGTAGCTGTGCTTCTGTATTCTATGCTGCATAATAAATCTGAACGTATGTATTGGCTCTTATAGATCAGAAGCTGGGGTAGCAGTGTCTTAAACTTGTATTTCAACAGGTCATTAGACAGCAGGACCAGAACAGTTGTACAAGCAAGCTGAATGTTCAAAAGAGATGACTGTCGCTTCAGGCATTCAAAGGAGCAATGTGAATTCAAAGAATATTCAATATTGAATACTGAATTGGCCTAAAATTTCATTACAGCATTCTAGGCCAATAATATTAAACATTTTTTCAGAGTTACACTGAAATTTAATAATTTCAAGTTACACCAGCATGGAGCACACTTCTGCTTTAAAAAATATCATATATGGTCAGTGTTCTTTTCAGGAGAAAATAAAATGAATCCCATCTGCCCAGTCAGAAGAAAATAGTTGTACTGCTTGTGGTATAAGAGAGACATTTCTCTGTTGCTGCTCTGAAGCTGTGGAACTCCCTCCCATGGGATGCTGGGCTCTTTGCTGTCCTTCCACAGGCACCCAAATAGTTTTCACTTCAGGGAGGCTTTTTCTCAGTGATCAGCTGCCTGAGATTTGGGATTCTGGGTTTGTTGTTGTTGTTCTGTTTTGTTCTGTTACAGTAATCTTAGACCTGCAGAGGTGGAAGGGAGCCTAAGAATCATTGATTTCAGCCCCTGTCAAGGAGGCACAGGGGGGAATCAAATCCTCAACCTCTGGCTCCACATCCAGATACCTAAACCACTGATTACTGAGCTCACTAGCATCCTCCATGAGGAAACAAGGAGCTAATAGCAGTGAGAGAGAGAGAGAGGCTTTTCCCTCTTCTAGTTTGGAAGCACAAAAAAGAAAGGTGTACAGTATATTTTTCTGCAGACCCGCCAAATTAATGAAATTCTAGGTATCTCAGGTAGTGTAATGGTGAAAAGGATGAGCTAGAGGTTAATGACCAGATAGGCGGGGTATAAATAAAATAAATAAATAAAAATAAGCGCTATTGGTTTACATCTCAGTCCAATTGCCAACTCACTGCATAGGAGAAAAAAGAAAGAAGCTACTCAATTCAAGACCAACATGTTTCTGACATGATCCTTCTTCAGGACCATTCTGATAACAACACCAGTATACAACAATATTGCACTAAGGAGGTTACGTATAATTTAAATGAATAATGTTACTGCTACTGAAGCACTTCATAGGAAAGGATCATATGCTGACATGCTGAGTCTGGAATAGTTTCTTTTAGCAACTGAAATTATCTGCCCTCTTTCTCCCTTCCTGTGGTGCCGTCCTGTTAGATTTTAATTTATTACATGATCTTGAACATTCTATATATCTCATCCTCAATACTTCTCCTTCTTCTCATTATTATTATGATAATGATGTTATAATATAATAGATATTATATTAGGATGTAATGAGAATTGTTTTAATATCCTTGTGTAAATTGCTCTGAATACTAAGGAAAAGCACTACATAAATGCTGCGGTTTATTTCTACCAGTCAAATCCTCTAATTAGATTTTGCCCTGCCACTTTTGTATATCTTTCCCCTTTTTGGTTCTATTTTGTCATACCTTTTTTGCTTTTCCCCATTGAAGTGTTTCTTTATTTTACATACATTATATTCTTTTGTTCTGACCAAAACCGAATTTCTTTTTCTTTTAGAACTTTCTCTTTTCTCTCTTTATGCTCTATTTTCTTTTCTCTCTCCCTCTCATCCACTTTTGCCAGTTAAAACCACTGATAACGAGCTTGTAAAAAGCCAGGTAAACCCAGGATCTGACCCTGAACTTCCTCCCAATCTGCAGACATTTCCGATACCATCTACCACCACTGCTGTTATCACTGCTGCTTGTAAGTTATAAGGTCCCTGTTTTTCTAATTTCTACCTTCCACTCAGTATGGATTAGACTTGACAATAAATGTCTCAAGGCAGAGGTCTTGGTACATGAATAAGCTTGCGTAGTCTCCTAGCTTATGTATTCCCTCGTTTCTTGTTCTATTTTGATGGAGGGGATCAGAGGCATCCGTGCTGAATTTACAGTTCCCCAAGATACCTGACTTCAGGAAACAACAATTTGCTTAAACTGTAATTTGGGAACATACTTTACCATGATTAGAAACCATAGTTTCAGATGCTAGCCTGTTCACAAAGCATTGTTTAAGGTTTTTTTTTTAAGTTCAGACTTTATAATTATTGTCGTTAAGCTTTAAACAATGGTTATCCACTCTCACTTGCAAAAGGCAGTGGAGTTTGTATGAGCCAGAGACTTATATGGGCTTGATCATATAGTGGAAGACCATGGTTTCCCATTGCATCAGAGCTATGTTTCTGAAGTACAATGAATGAAAGAGAGAAAACCCAGAGTGTGTAGATAAATATTAGGGCTGAAGCCACACTGTTTGCTGATTGCATTTCCTACTGAAATCAATGCAATTTAAGTCATGACTAATTTTTATGGCAATCTGAGTACAACAAATGTAATCCAGACCTAATGTTTATGTTTAGAACTCATAAACAGGTAAGACCATAATCCATGCCTCAGTCAATGTCAGGAGGGTGGTTGGATGGGGATTAATGGTCACTTTTTATTTCATGTCCCTGTTTCACAACCCATCTTTTCAGCTTTCTTAATTCCTCTGTTGTTTTCCCATTGTATTCGTTTTCTATTCTTTCTCCTTTGTCTTGCCTTTTCTCATTTGTCCTGTGCCAGCAACCAAGCTATCTGATGTACTAGGCATGGTAAAAAGAGGATCAGGGGGCCCAGAATCTGAAGAGTCAGCCGCTTCAGTCTCTGCACCCTGCATATCTCCAGCTGTTGCAAACCTTCTACCTCCACAGTGTAAGTAGTTGAACAATCACTAGGGTTTGCTGTACTGGATGGTTAATTGGACTGAAAATCTAGTAGTTTCTATACAGTCTAGAACAGCTTCATTTTTAATTTATTTACTGTATTTATTTATTTTTGTATTCTAGGTTGCACTACTCTAGTCACCTTTGCTGAAAATTAATTCTTCCTTGGGCTGGGTATTTACTAGAAACAATGGGGAGATAGGCTTAAAAGCCTCTAATCTCTAATCAAAACTCTAATCAGATTCTGTTAAAACAAAAGGCCTTCAACATCAAAGGCATGGCCTTTTCCCACTTGCCAATACATGGAACAGAGAAGGACTAAGGAGGTAGGCAAATTCACAAAGCAAAACAAGGCCAAGCACAATGTGGATGAGCAACTGAGCAGTGAGCTGCTTTGTCTACGGTTTTTTCATTGTTTTGTCTGGCAGGGGTCAGTTTCTTTTCTCTAACTTGTTCCTGCCCAACAAACCAGAAGGGAGAATCCAGGATTTGTATTCGCGAAGGCTTTCACGGCCGGGATCTTCAGAACTCAACCTTCAGAACATGGCCAAAGAACCCGAAAAACCCACAACAACAAATCAATCCAGGATTTGTTATTTCTTTCTTTCTGTGGCTTGTTTGGAGGGAACAAAACAGAGGAGTTGCCAGATGACTGATAAACCAACTCTTATTTATTTATTTATTTATTTATTTATTTATTTATTTATTTATTTTTTATTTTTTACTTACTTACTTACTTACTTACTTACTTACTTACTTACTTACTTACTTACTTACTTAACATGTATACTGCCCAATTAGTGTTAGGCAATACTTTGGGCAGTTTACATCAAGGAGGCAATCAATGAAATACAATATAACAGCTGTGCATAAGCTGAATAAATCTAAAGAATAGCAAGACGGTGGCAAATCCTGAATATGATTTAGCCAAGGATGTCCATAAAGCCTCAGGATTGCAGGCAGAGTGGGTACACCAAGCACTCTCCCAAATCTATCCTTGTGCCTCACCCATCAGATGAAGACACTCAAGGCCTGAACTCATACGTGCAGCAGTCCTGCTGACACCAATGATATCCTTGTAAACAATGGTGATTCCCCCACCCTGCCCCTTTGACCTGTCCTATTATCCATAGGAAGCATCTTCCCTGGCATGACCAGGCTGCAAGTGAGTCTTCCTAGAGCTGTAATGCAGGCCTGGAAGGGTCAAGGAGAAGGTTATTGTAAGCAGGGAACAGGACATTGGAATTAAATAATAATAATAACAATAATCAGATTCTTTGTTCCTTTTAAAGTTCTACATGATTATTAGACAGTACTAGATATGAGAAATTCATAAATAACACTAGAAAGAATCCCAGAGTTGCCCCTTTCTGTCATTCTGTCCTGAGTTTTTTCTCTAACATCTCTTCCAAATATTTTCCTTTTTTGTCCTACATTTAAAAAGTTATTTTCTTCCCCTTTCTCACCTTCTTTGCTGTCATCTATCCACCCCAGCTGCCAAATTCTCTGAAGTATTAGGCATGATGAAACAAGGCTCCAGGCCACCAGAAGCAGAAGAACCAAAGCCTTCCGTTTCTTTGTCCTTTACACAACCTGTTGTTGCAAATCCTTCTCCTGCCCAGTGTAAGTAGAATGCGACATTAGGGATGAGGGGACCCTTCAGGTTCTCCAGGCTTCTTTGCCCTTACGCTGTGCTACGGAGCATCTCCTGAGTCGTCACTAACCATTGCAAAGGAGAATATAGTTTAGCAGTTGCTGCATTAGGTTTCATGGTCTAAAATAGTAACCGTTATTTAAACACACTATTAGAGATGGGCACAAACACAGCTTGGTTACACAGCTGTCCTGTGGGTGCCCCGGCTTCCCAGCCCTGTCTCCTCTTGCAGGTGCCCACCCAGAGGCAGTGCCTGGAGGAGGTGGGGATGAGATGCTGCACCAGTGCCTCTGAGTGAGCATCTGCCAGAGAAGGTCGGGCTGGGAAGCTTTGCCAGTGCCTCTGAGTGGATGCCCACCTAACAGTGGAACTGCCGGATTGAAGAACCTTGATTTATGCCCATCTCTGTGTGCTAAGCATCTTGAAATATTTTGTTCACACAGTTTTACTCTTGCCTTCATCCATTCTCAGGATAAACTATGCCAAAGATTTCTAAATGTTATCCATCCCATCATTTCTGCAAAAGCAAATGATGCAGTTGTTTGTCTCACAATTATGCACAAAATGTTTTTACCTGGGAGGGCATTTTAAAAAAAACCCTCAAGAACCTCCAAATAACCAGGACCATTTCCCACACTATAGCTCCTGATTTGCTTCTTGAACATTTAAACCAGGAGCAAGAATTTGGACTTCAGTAATGCTTTTGGCAAGGTGCCCCATGATATTCTGATTAGCAAATTAACTAGGTATGGGTTGGACAGAACAAATATCAGGTGAATACACCGTTGGTTATAGAATCATGCTTGAGGAGTGCTTATCGTTGGCTCCTTCTCAAAGTGGGAAGAGGTAATTAGCAGGTATCACAAGGCTCAGTCCTGGGCCTGGTGCCCTTCAGTATTTTTATTAATTGGTTGGATGAGGGAGTGCAGGGAATGCTTATCAGATCTGTAGATGGCACAAAATTGGGTGGCATAGTTAATGCCTTGGAACAAAATTAAAATCTTGATAGGCTTGAGCAGTGGGCTGAAAACAACAGAATGACATTTTACAGGGCTTAGCACAAAATTAAAGGGGGACTCAAGTGGATAATTACAGGATGGCAGATACTTAGCTTGGTAATACCACAAGCGAGGTCTTGAAATTGTAGATCACAAGCTGAGTATAAGCCAACAATAAAATGTGACTACAGAATGGTCAGTACTATTTTAGGCTGCATTAACAGACGTATAGTCTCCAGATCCTGTGAAGTACTAGTTCTCCTCTGTTTGACACCGGTTAGGCCTCATCTTGAGTAGTGTTTCCAGTTCTGGACACCATACTTTTAAAAGGACGCTGACAAACTACAACAAGGTCAGAGAACAACAAGAAGGATGATCAGGGGAGTGGAAACCAAGCCCTATGAGGAAAGACTGAAAGAACATGGCGTGTTTTGCCTTGACTGAGGAAAGATATGATTGTGTTCTTCAAATACTTGAAAAGTTATCTTGAGGAGGGAAACACAGCACACATAATAATGGGCCCAAATTACAGGAAGCCAGATGTTTATTGAATATCAGGAAAAATATTTTAACTATTAGATCAATATGACAATGGAACCAATTACCTCATGAGGTGGTGAGCACTCCAGTGCTGGAGGCATTCAGGAGAAAACTAGACAACCATCTGTCATATATAATTTGATTTGGAGTGCACTGAGCAGGAGGTTGGACTCAGTGGCCCTACAGGCCCCTTCCAGCTCCATTATTCTGTGATTCTATGACTTCTAAATATTATTGGACTGCAACTCCCATCAGCCACCACCATGAATAGTAAGGGTGTCATATGAGTGGGGCAACAATATTTGGAACACCTCAGTTGCTCAACTCTAATGTTAACAAATCATGTTATTGATAGAAGTTAAGGCACATTCTCACTGTATCAGAGGTTTTCCTTTCAATGCATTCTTTTCTTTAATTTCTCCTCCTAGTTATTTAATTTTCATTTATTATCCATTCTGTTGTTTTTCTGTTTTTCTTGTGGTTTTTCCCCCCCATTTTTCCTCCCTCATCCCACCCCAGCTGCCAAGTTGTCTGATGTATTAGGCATGGTGAAAAGGGACTATGGGTCCCCAGACGCTGAAGAGCCAAAACCTTCCATCACCCTGCCCGGCCCATCCTCAGGTGTTGCAAATCCTCTCCCTTTCCAGTGTAAGTAGCAGTTATTACCTGTGTGGAGCTGGTGTATTGCTGCAGAACTGTCCACATTTTCCTCGTATTTGGAGGAGTGTTTGTGGGGGCTTTTTGAAAAAGGCATTGCGATTTATTAGGAACAGTTTCCTTAGAGACAAATGCTGAAGAAGGTTGTATCCATAAATTCCAGTGTGGAACTACCGGTAAATGCTTAATTAAAGACCATGGCTCTTAACATAACTTGGATAGTGGAAAGCTGGTTTTCTTTACAGTCTTGTGTGCAGTCCAAAAGTAGTTTTTGCCCTCAGAGTTCTGACAGTTGTTCATCCCAAATGTAATACTCAAGATATCTGAATATTTATATGCAAATGCTGGGGGATGCTTCTTTTGGGAAAATATTCAGTTACGCACTTCCCTTCTTCCTACCTTTATACTATATACTGATCAAACACAACCTTAAAACTACCTGCCTAATATCATGTAGCTCCCCTTTGTGTTGCCAGAACAGCTCTGATGTGTCAAGGCATAGACTGCAGAAGACCTCTGTATGCGTCCAGTGGTATCTGGCACCAAGACATTAGCAGTAAATACTTTCTGTCCTGCAAATTGCAAGGTGGGGCCTCCATGGAACAGATTTGGTGTTCCAGCACATCCCATAGATGATCAATCAGATTGAAATGTTTGGAATTTGGAGGCCAAGGCAAGACCTTGAACTCTTTGCCATGTTCCTCAGACCATTCCAGAACAATTTTTGCAGTGTTGCATGGTGCATTATCCTGCTAAAAGAGGCCACTGCCATCAGGGAGCACCATTGTGATGAGGGGATGTACATGGTTTGCAACAATCTCTAGATAGGTGGTACATGTCAAATGTGACATCCACATGAATGCCAAGATCCAAGAACCCAGCAGACCATTTCCCAGAGCATTACACTGCCTTCGCCAGCTAGTCTTCACCGGCCAGCCTTCTTCCCATAGTGCATCCCGCTGTCATATCTTCACCAGACAAAAATCACACATGGACATGGCAACCACCTGATCTAAAAGAAAATGTGATTCATCAGACCAGACCAGGCAACTTTCTGAGTCTTGATGCTCACATCTCCATTGTAGGTGCTTGCGGTGGTGGACGGGTGTCATTGCAAGCACTCTGACCAGTCTGTGGCTACACAGCTCCATATGCAGCAAACTGTGATGCACTGTGCACAGTGGTGCCTCACATAACGAGCACACCGTTTAACGATGAATCCGCATAGCAATCTATTTTTTGTGATCGTATTGTGATGTTTTGAATGGGAAAACATTGCATTGTGATGATCAGTAAGCGTTTCGCTTACCGATCTTCGCATTGTAATGTTTTTAGAACAGCTGATCGGCAATTCCAAAATGCCCGCCGGGTGCCCGAAATGGCCGCCGCAAACATTTTCACGTGGTTTCCTCGCTTACCGAGGCGGCGAAAATGGTGGCGCTATGGAGGATCTTCGCTGAATGGTGAGTTTTCAGCCCATACGAACGCATTAAACTTGGGGTTTTTATTTCCGTTTGGCGACGATTCCGGATAGCGACGATTAATCCGGAACGGATTAACGTCACTATGCGGGGCACCACTGTATTCTGACACCTTTCTATTATTGTTAGCATTATGTTTTCCAGCAATTTGAGCTATAGTAGTTCCTCTGTAATTGGACCAGATGGGTTAGCCTTCGCTCCCCACATATATCAATGAGCCTTACGTACCATTGTAATAATATAATCAATGCTATTGACTTCACCTGTCTGTGGTTTTAATGTTTTGGCTGATCAGTGTATAGTCTGGACTAAGCTAGAACTTGTTTTATGTGTCTTGGGCTAATAATGCTCATCAAATCTCTAACATTGGGATGCTGAATATTGTGATCTAGCAGAAAAGGAGCCATATGAAGAAATCATCTATCCTAAGCATACATTACAATTATCACCGAATTGGTTTATTTAAAGCATAGGGATTGGAAAATCTGGAGAAGTAGCAGGATGTTTTGTCTCGAATCTCAGTGTCCCTGTCTCTCAGATTTTCCTTGAGTTGAACAGGATACTTTGAAGGAGATTTTAAACTCATTCAGCCAAATACTCCTTGAAATCTTCCTTTAGAATTTACTGCTCAATCCAGGAAGATTTGGGGTTGGAACCAGCAAGCGTGGAAATACTGGGGACAAGACTGGTCTATATGGCCCTCTCCCTGTTATATTCCTCTGTATGCTGGCTCATGCTTGCATATTTACTCAGTTCAAAAATTTGAGAAGTGAACTCCCTTTGAAAATTATACTAGGGAGAATATTACATATGTGTGTTGTACCTATGAAACAGTATGTGAAGGAACTCCTACTCTGTCATATCCCTTTCCTCATTCTTAGCCCCTTTCTCATACTTTCCTACCTCCTTCATTACTACTCTGCTATATCCCATTGTGTTTTTCTCATCTTTTCCTCCCTTCCCTTCTCTCACCTGCTTTGCCCCAGCTGCCAAACTGTGTGATATATTAGGCACAGTGAAAAAGAGCCCTAGACCACCAGAAGGTGAAGAATCAAAGTCTTCCATCACATTGCCATGCCCACCTTCTGTTGATGCCAACCCCATTTCTCCCCAATGTGAGTAGTGTATGGAAAGAGGGTCACTGAGATGTTGTGTGTGTTTTTTGTGGTCTCTGAATTGGCATAAGTGCTTCCAGATTTTTCAAGTGGTTTAGTGCAAACGTGGAACAGCTACTCTGTGGATTGGAACAAGGGGTTCTGGGAGTTGTAGTTCATCCTTTTCCAGACTCTGGACCCGGCTGTAGAAGAAAGATGCCTGTGTGTCCAAGTCTGTACTGACTGATTCTGTGTCTCATACATTTATACTCGCTCCCACATAGGCTATGTGTGTGAGCATCTCACCTTCAAGGCACAAACCACTGTACTGCCAGTAGTAACTGGCAGTATCCTACCCTTCCTCCTAGGAGGTTAAGGCAGTGTTTATCATGTGCTGCCCTGTTGGGGTAGATTATGCTTTGCATCAGATGACGTGGATAATACCAGCCCATATCACCATAAATGAGAAGAAAGTAAGTAGCTCTCTGGATGTTTGCGGGCTACAGCTCCCATGAGCTCTACCTAGTATATCTAATGTTGAGAGATTGCGGGTGTTGCTGGACAAAAAAATGTGGAGGGGGCTACAGTTGAGCTCCCCTGTATTAGCCCCAGAAGGAGCAAAAGAAAAAGGCAGGCCCCAAGAGGTTGCTGTTATAAGGAATGTCCGCCATGTTTCAGTACAGAATAAGATGCATTGAGGTCCTTTTCACCTAAGAAAGATTTTTGGTCAAAGGTTTTGATATGTTTCATTAAATAAATTGCAACTTTAGATAATGAGATAAGACTTCATTTTGCCACAATTTGTCTCTAAAGCACTATCACTCTCATTCTTGGTCGCTAAGACATGGTTCACCTTATCAGAACCCCTCCTTGATATCTTCTTCCTTGTGTTTCTAGTCCCCCCCTTCATTCATTCATTTTTGTTTGTTTATTTTATTATTCTTTTCTCCATGCCTTTTTTCATCTGTCTCAACATCAGCCGCCAGGTTATCTGATGTCCTAAGCATGGTAAAGCGGGGCTGTGGAGCCCCAGAAGCTGAAGGGCCAAAGCCTGCTATCACCCAGCTTTTCCCACTTCCACTGATCACAAACCCTCTGCCTTCAGATCGTAAGTAGCACAGCTCCATGGGGGTTACAGCTGAGCCCCACTTGCTCTGGAAAAAAAAATACTGTTCTCTTTAATACGGGGGGGAGGGGGGGAAGCTGAGCCCCACTTGCTCTGGAAAAAAAATACTGTTCTCTTTAATACTGGGGGGGGGGGATAAAACAGCCTAACAGTGTTGCTGCATGGCTTTACATCCAAACGCAGTAGCCCCATCAGACTGATACAATGCAGACTGAGTTTTTCATTAAATGTGTGGATAAAAAAGCCTAACAGTGTTGCTGCATGGCTTTACATCCAAATGCAGTAGCCCCATCAGACTGATCCAATGCAGACTGAGCTTTTCATTAAAACACAACCTGATAGTTCACATTATACTCTAAGCTGGGGGGGGGGGGCAATGTGTAGCCTGTATAATTAAAAATTGTAAACCGCCCGGAGAGTGCTTGTAGCGCTATGGGGCGGTATATAAGTCCAATAAATAAATAAATAAATTATACTCCATATTGTGTGTCTAAAAGCTATCTTGGTATTATGATTAGTTCATCTATTCAGACATTGTAGGTATTGATGTGTGATGCTGCTGTTATGTTTCAATATGGGGGAGAAAGAGCTCCTAGTTGTTAGGATTCCCAGCTCCCATCATCTCTGACCACTAACTACCAGCTAGGGCTAATGTGCAGCCCAACAACATCTGGAGGGTTACATGTTCCCCATCGATGTTCTGGATGGTGAGATTAGCCACATACAGAAAATGTAGGTACCATTTCTTAAAGATATTTCTTCCTATGACATTTCTGTCCCTAGCTCTTCTTTTTCTTGAATATCCACCAGTCCCTCCCTTGACTGCAGATCTTTCTGTATATCTGTTCAGAAGTACATATACAGAGAGAGCAGCTGTGTTCACCAGGAATACTTACAAATAATTGTAGAAGGTGCGATTTAGGCTTGATTTAGTCACTAAATCAAGTGTGCCCAAATGTCCATGTGATGAAACAAATAGTTTAAAGGGAGAAGCATTTGTTTCCTATTTTTAGAGTAAACACAGATGTATTAAACTGTATGTGCCATCCCTCTCTATTTACATAGAGGGAACAAAGGGGGAATTCTAAGTTAATACCTGCTATACATGCAGTCTTCACAACTACTTTAAAACTAATTAAAGATCCCTTCTTATACAAATAAATCTAACCTTACTGACCTTTGGCTTTCTTACAGTAACAAATGTACTGTATTTCCAATTCATAAATAAGTTAATACACAACCATTAGTTCTCTAGGTCTCTGAAAGAGATGTACCACTTCAGCTTTCATCCATATTCTTAGTACTGCTCCACTCAGACTTTGGTTTTTATTAACCAAAGGTGCAGGCGTTCGTACTAATGTGAAGTTGCCTAGGTTTCTAAACTTGAGATCTAGGACTTGGGCTTGGGCTGATCCAAAACAGTGTATTCAGCCCCATTAGAAGTACTGAAAGTGCACAGCCCCTTCTGTGCACTTTATAGCCACTGCAGGGGAAATGGCAGAGAAACGTGTGTGCCCCCCCCCAGGAAACAATCTTGC